GCAACAGACCGCGCAGGCCGAGGGCGTCCAGGACGCGGATTCGAACGAGGGTGACGACGAGCAGGAGGGGGGGCCCAGTGGCGGGCCACTTGGCGCCGCATCCGGCGACGACCCCGCTGCCGACTTACTGCAGCAGCCTGAGACGCCCTTCGAAGCCTGTCTGGAGAAGAAGCCCTTGGCCGATGCAACGGCAGAAGCACGAGAAGAGCAGCCGTCCGAGGAGCCGACGCCGCTCCAGGAACTGGCTGCAGGTGAAGCTCAGGCAACGAGAAGACCCAAGAGATCTGCCGCTGCTTCCTCGTCGGGGTAGCCCCCTCATACCGGAAGGGGGCATCGTCGACGACGCCGCTAGGGGGGCCGCCGAGGAGGTGCCGACGCCCGACGACAGGCCGTTACGTCCAAAGCCGAAATACATCGGGACCGTCGGCGTCGACGCTTCGGTTCCCGAAGAGCACGACAACATGATTGTCCTGGTCCACCGTCGGACCGCCAAGGCGAGCACCCCGCGCGCGGTCGCTATTCCAGGGGGAAGGATTGACCGGACGGATACAGACGTTGCCCGCAAGCGGAACTTGGATTTCCACTGCGCCGCCAGGCGCGCAGCAAGTCGGGGGCCCCGAAGAAACGGGACTGCGCGATTCTCCAGACAGACTGACAGGACCACGAATCCATATCGCGTAAATTGCGGGGCCCTTCTCGTGGAACACCCCCTGGTCAATGGGCCGTGCAAGCGATCTCGCGGTGAGGTGGGTTTCCAGGGCTCTTGGAATCTACGCAGTCCTGCCGGAGACGAGTGCCGCGTCTGGATCGACGTGGGTGACTTTCTTCAGCAGCGGGGCCTACATACCGCGCGTAAGCAGCCACTATCTTACATCGCGACGGTAGAGAAGCAGGGAATTTCGCAAAAGAAGCGAAACATGGCGGAGGACAGGACGGTGGAAGCTCAAGCAACGGACGCGGGCCAGACGAAGCAGGACGAGCCGTCCGTTGAAAATGAGAAACGGGCGCTGGCCTACCGGCGACGCGATCTACATCTTGGTGTTGAAGAGCCGTATGTGACAGACGTTGGACACGCGAGTTCCAAATCCGATCGCCGCCCTCAGTGAGCCCGCGGGGGAGATGCTGCCAGCTGGCAGCGCAGCATCAGGGTCCGAGATGTCCTGCCTTTCATGTCCGGATGAAGTTGTTGACGTCCATGCCCGCCGACATTGCTATCAATATGGTCAACTCGTGCAATGCCTTTGACGCCGAGATCGCGGCGCACTACTTGACGGCGCCGGTCGAGTCCAGCGATTGCGAGCCTCTCCATGGGATTTTCAAGGTTCGCGCAGGTGCCGAGGCCGAGGAGCGCCCGATCACTCATCTTGTGGCAGAGTTCACTTGGAGGAGCTTCAGCGGCCTGCCAGCTCGGGTTCCCGCGGCGCTAGCTCTCGTCAGCGGCATGAGCTGCAGCGATCTCCCAAATGTTGGCAGGGGCCCATGGCGCCCACTTCAGGAGGAGAAGAAGCCCATCAACGACAGCGGGGGGGAGCTGGTGAAATGCGGCGAGACTGCTCTCCAGGAGATGGGGGAGCAGATCGCGTTCCGCGGCGAGCACGGACCGAAAGATGAGCTCGGGCGCCTTCTTGGAAGTTGCGCTGATTTGTCGGGCACCGCGCGTCTTCTCGAGGGATGCGTAGACAGCACTCCGCCAGCTGGGGAGGCCATAGAGAAGGCCATGAAGGCCGTCATGATCATCAACCAGTACGTCCCCGCTCCGGCGATGGAAGAATCTCCAGCAGAGAAGGGTCATATACTCCTTGGACCCGAAGACAACCACATCAGCGTCCACTGAAGGAAGGCCTACAAGTTGACCGGAAAGAGGAAGCATGTCCTCGGCAAGATGATGAGTTCCAAGTGGAAAGTCTGTATCAATATCGACGTGGCGAGGGGCTGCCTGATCGACGCGCAAGTGTCCAAAGGATCACACGTTTCTCGCGGGCATCTCTCGGGGCTCATCGAGTTCCCTCATGGGCCGGGCCCGGTTGTATTTCCAGCTTGTCAATGATGGATCATCGATGCGTCGATGGCACGCGCCAGGGCGATGTAGCATGAGAAGGAGCTCAGCAACCCGAATGCCGACGTCCAGACGGCTTACCACGGCACCAACTTTGCAGCCCTTGCCTCTATCTGTGTCACGGAAGGCGTGTGCAAGTTGGAGCAGGGGCCCTCGCGCGCTGACAACCTATCTGGCGTCTACTGTGAAGGAACTCCTCGCCGTTCCTCCTGCGCTTACTACGCGGTGCACCTGTCGCCTGATGTCGGCCTCTAGATGAATCTGCATTCGTGCATTGTCGAGATATTGATGGACCGCAAACGCCCCGCAGGTTATCCCGAGGTGAAGTTCACAAGCAGCGGTGCCGAACCGAAGGCAGCACCTACGCCGCCAAGCTCCATAACCACGCTGCGACGATGAGGGAGATCTGGGGCAATGTACAAACGAATCAGCCAGTCTTTTGATGGTATAGGCTACGGAATCGCACGGTCAGGATGTACCTTACGGCGCAGGCCATGCCCATTGCGTTTCCGAGCGCCCACGCGTACTCGGACGAGAAGGTCGAGGATTCCGACTCGGCGACCCTCGAAGCCAAGCTGATACCCAAGAACGGGAGATGGGCGCCTCAGCGCAGCATCCCGCTGCCTGGAGCGACCCGGATACAAGTGCGACCTCAGCGGATCCGGGCAGCCGAGCTTCATGGGCGATGGGGCAAGCTTCGGATGTGCGAGGATCTGTCGGTCCCCTCATGGGACCGGGATCGGACAATCCAGTCATGGAGCTCTCCTAGAGACGCCCTCAGGGCCCACGCGTTCGCGCGGCCGTGCCCGCTGCACGTCGCAGACGCTTCGGGGCTACATGAGAAAGAAGGCTACGGGATCTGAGTGGCCACGACTTTCGAGTGCTATAAGCGTGAGTTCACGGACTGGGGCGAGGCGGCGTTTCGGCTGCAAGAGAGGCAGGAGCCGCGGTTGTCATGCCCAGGTCTGCCCACCCATTCCTGCGCCTTTCCCCGCGCTCCGTTCTGCGCCGCCGCGGTGGCCCACGAGGGCCCTTGTGTCACTTGGTGCTCGGGCGACGGGCGCGCCCTGACCCTTGTAAAAGGAAAGAGATCGTGCTCTCTCACAGCACGGGCCCCCTTATTTGTACTTCGTGTTTGTATTCCATGCCGTTACCCTCGTGCAGTCCACATTGTCTGTTTTTGGCAAACTGCCCTCGTCGTGTGTCCTCTCGATGCTTTCAGTTCGATGGACTGCGCCTCCACTTCCACCTTGCGTTCACTGCCGTCAGCTCCTCCACCATCGTTGCCCGAACCTGGATACGTGCGTGGCGCGGTCGATCCTCCTGGATCCCTGCCCCATCTTCTGAAGGGGCGGCCGCGCGAGCTGGCAGTTCTCGCTGAATCGCTGTCTCCGTTGTCTCGTAGCCATGGTCGCCGAAAATGTGTGTGCGCATATCTGTGCGTGCGTGCGTGCGTGTGTGTGTGTGTGTGTGCGTGTGTGTGTGTGTGTGTGGTGTGTGTGGTGTGTGTGGTGTGTGTGGTGTGGTGTGTGTGTGTGTGTGAGAGAGAGTGTGTGTGTGTGTGTGTGTGTGCGCGCGTGCGCGTGCGCGTGCGTTTCCCCCCGCATTTTGCGACGCCCGGTCCTCGTTTCATTTTTCGAAAGCACCACGCATCAGACCACGCAAGGATGCGCTGGTTGAGCGATCCAATGGCCCGCACACGCAAAAACGTACAGTATACGTGTGTGTTGTGTGTTTGTTTGTGTATGTTCATTTGTTCGTCAACCCACCGTCCCCTCTGCCACCCACGCCCGGATGTTTTACTGTTCATGAAGGCTGCAAGACCCAAAACGGTTTGTGAAGGGTCGGGCGTTTGTAGTCTGCGCGCGTTTATTGTTTTTGACATTTTATGCCCCTTCGCTGCGCGGAGGGCCGTGATGCCAAGCAAAAGAAGTATGTGCGTGTGTATGTGCATGTTCGATATCTCTCGGGACGATGCGGCCGTGACGCTTCAGGGTCGTCATGCAAAAAACGTTTGAACATAATCGTGAAGGGGGTGCGGCCCAGACCCCATCGCAAACGCCAGCTGTCGACCTCTTGCAAAGGGCCTTTTTTTGTTTTCCTTTCTTGTCGGGGGGCCACGGAACTCTCGAGTGGATCCCAGGCTCCGATAATTACACATAGCATCGTACAGGTTCAAGATGTTGGATTCGGCGGCGGGAGCGGAGGAGGAGGGCAAGCCCAACACAAGCCTTGCAATTAAGCTTGTAAAGTCTAAAAATGAAGGGCCCCCGCAGTTTGTGTTCCTGGGCATGTCCACCATGCCTTCAGCTTCTTTTGCCCAAGGGTGCCTGGGCATCTCTGCGCACATCTGGGCGACGATCGTTGCGAGATGTTCGCGGCTTCCCGACGCGGTGCCGACCCAGAAACGGGCGTGCAAGGTTGAACGAACACCGCCAGTTGGTTTCAATCGGCCGATATCGAAGAGTTCGCGGTACCAGGAAATTGAGACCGTTCAAGGTCGAACAGTCCACGCTGAGTCAGGAACCGACGGTGCAGGTGGTTGACGATACGAACCGGCGAACCAGCCGTGCACTCCACCCCTACAGCCAAGACGTTGAAGTGAAGGACAGCTCGAGTTCGGAATGTGTTCCTACAGAGCTCAATGTTCAGGAGGGGAAAAAACACACAGACACAATTAATCGGCGATTCCCAGAAAATATCGGAAAATATGGGAAGTGGGGGGGAAGACAAAAACCCAGAAAATATGAGAAAATATGGGGGATATTTTTATTTGTGTGTATTTATTTGTGTGTCCCAGTTCCCCTTCAAATGTACCGTACATCCAGGTCCCCGTTAGGGCCCAACGACGATCGTTGTATGGGGACAGCGGCGTGTTGTCCTCACGCAGGAAGTCACTGCGCGGGGCACCTCTCGCTCTGCGCGCCCCCTGCCCGCACGCCAGGGCACCGTGGCCGCGGTATCGCGCGAGGCTGGCGCCCTCTCCCAGCAGCCCTGCAGGCGGTGACGTGGGGAGGGCGGGGGGAGGGAGGAGGGATTCACCACCCACCAAACCACCCCAACCCAACCCGAAGGCCTCAATTTGCCTTTCATTTCCAGTGGGGGGGGGTCGTGGAACATCGAGAAAACACGTATGGAGCCCGTACCCCCCCCCAACCCGAAATTCGGGTCTTCGGGTTGGGTTGGGGTGGTCTGGTAGGTAGTCAGGAGGAGGGATGAGCAGAGAAGTCAGGGGCAACGACAGGGGGGAACGTTTCGGGTTCGGGGCTCCGTGTTGTCGGAAGTTATCACAGGTTTTCCGAGGTGTTCTGTCCGTGGCTTGCTTTCCAGCAGCTGCGCTTCACCGAGAGCGACCTGGTGGTGCCAGAATGATCACGAGCGGCCGCCAGAGAACGAGCTATGACCCCAAATCCAAGCATCGCCCTTCATTTCTCGTCGATTGGGGTCTGGGCCCCCAAATTGCGGTTCCAGTATCGGGGCTTACCATCGGTAAGGTATCGTCGATTCCAGATCAATGTACCCCCCTTGAGCCAATTCCCCCCCATCGTTTCCCCACCATGGAAGGTGAGGAAGGGGCTCCCTCCCTTCCTCTCTCTCGTTCTTTCCCTCTCTGTCTCCATCCACTTTCCCCCCCTCTCTTCCGTAGCCATTTTGGCTCAAGTTGCAAGGTTCCCCGTGGGACCAAGTGGATATTGCGAGTCCGCGGCAGTGCCAGGACCTTGAGTCCGACAGCTTTTTCACACCAGCTGGTCTGCACCAGCGTGGTGTCTGCCTCCCGCTGCCCGCGGGTGAGCAAGTTTTTCACGATACCGCCCTACATAGAGCTTCGAGCGGCATGGCGGCGCTGGTACTGGTGAGTGGGAGCGTCGCCCTTGGGTGCAGGCAGCGCGTCCCCGCCGTTGGGGAGGACGTGTCCCTGTCGGGGGTGGATCGGCCGTAATGTGGGAGGAATGGGACAGTAAGCATGATAAGTTCAGTGAGGACTGGACGACTGTGGCGAGTCCCAAAGGCGAAGTTCTTTGCCACCACTGCGGTTGCCGTAAGAACCCCAAGGGAGCTATGCACGGTAAGCACTGCGGCCAGAAGCTCGGAAGCCGCCCCCATCAGCCCGAGGTGCCTGAGACGAACCTACTTTGGGAGGAAGAGGCTGGCAAGCGTGCTGGCAAGCTGGAAAGGAAGGGACAAATACGAATAATGGAAAACGTGAGCCACGGAAGGGCAACGGACCTGGGGGCGTCTCTCAGGCCCTTCCCCCAGGGCCCATCCGAGAGATACTTCAGTCCAAGGCGCTCGAGCTGCAGCGCCTGGCTCAAGCGGCTGGCGACTCGGAAGGGGCGGCGCGTTATGGTGCGCTGGCTAAGCGTGCAGTCCCACCGCCCAGGCCATCAGGACGCCAGCGGCTCATCGAAGCAGAGCAGAAGCAGGAGAAGTTGAAGACGAAACCCGACGCCGAGTTTGAGAAATTGCAGCGCTGGAGGGCGGCCACAAGGAACTGCAAAGTGACTTACAAGGGGGCCGATGCCGAAGTCGCCGCCACGCTGGCGGAGCTCCAGAGCCAGCACATAATGCAGTCCGAGGCAGTGGAGGCCAAGCCGCTCATCAGCCTCTGCAGGCTCATTGAGGGCGAGGTGGAATTGGCTTATGTCATTTCTGTGGGCGGCCTGATGTGGAGGCCGTCAAAAGGTAATTACGAAGTCTCGAAAGAGGACCTTCGGGAGCTGGAGGAGAGGAACAACGACACGGCCAATCAGATGCAGGAGGTGCGCACCATGGTTTTTTCGGCAAGCGATGGACAAACCGAACGAGTGCCAGGACAAGCGCAAAGAGCACCGCAAGCGTCTGCAAGCGAAGCGTCGGCGAGTTGATGCGACTGAGGTTGAAGGCTCTGGGGCACCAGCTGAACCACCTCCTGCCGCGACCCCTGGGTAAGGCGAGTCTTCGGCAGCTGGGCCGACAGAGACGCAGCCAGCAGACTAGCCAGCTCCCAAGATGGATATTCGTGCTCGTGTGGCTGCTGGCTCCAGTGTGCAGGCGGCAGGGACGTCGGGTCTTTAGCCAGTCGGATACTGCGTGTTCGACGATGCCTGGGGCGACGCCATCGCCTTCTTCAGCTCCATGTACCTGGTCTCCGCTCGGTGCGAGCCCTCCTGAGAAGGCGTTTCCCCTCGCTGGGGGGGTGGCCCAGTCTGTGTGAACCGTCCAGCCTCGCGGCAGGTGCGAGTTCTCGGCTGGTTGCCCCGCTGGAAGAGGCGGCGCCGACGTCTTCCTCGATTGCCGCGGGTGGATCGTCGAGGCCGTCTACTTCGGTGGCGTCGACAGCTTCGATGTCGACAAAGCCTTCTACTTCGGTGTCGCCGTCGGGGTCATTTGCGGCAGCTACCTGTTTTGTCGGATCGGGGGTCGGGTGCTCCTCGAGCCCGATCCCCTCAGAGTCAAATTGTGAGGGGGCGGGGTCGCTGCCTGGATGGGGCGCCAAGTCAGAGCGCGGCCGTCAGGAGCTCAAGCCTGGCGGCCTTCTCGTCCAAACATTTTGCTGCGTGCAGGGGGGGAAAGAGTACGCCAGGGTCCTCGGGCCCTGTAGTTGGAACGAACGCAGTGGATTTGTCAGAGCGCGACGACCAGGTGCTCCTCGAGCCTGGTCGTCTAATAGTAGAGGGCGAGATGCCTTTGGCATCAGCGACGGCTACGGAAAGTCAAAACGCAGGTGGTGGGCGCGCCTCGAGCTTGCCACCAGCACGGGTAATTTGCGAACAGCCCCAGGCTAAGTTTTGAGCAGCGGTCACGTTAAAGCAAGTCGTCCCCCTCCAGGAATGCCTTCCGCCTGACGAAGCTGGAACGAAAGGGCCCGTCAGGGTTGGCACCTTGAATGCGAATGCTTGGCCCAGATCACGCAGCGCCATGCCCTGGATCGAGAACCTGTGCCAGATGCCCCATGCGTTGTATTCAGGAGACAGAACTGGACCCCATCGGCTGAGACAGGTGCACACCAGTGGACTCGCACATGATCTCGGAAGCTTGCCCTAAGCACGGCTAAGCGCGCGGGGGAGTCAGCCAGGGCGCTGCCAGCTGGAGTTGGATCAGCTGCAGCCATCGGGATAGGAGTGGCCAAGTTGCAGATCCTTGGGAAGTGGCAGCACCGAGTGGCGATGAGGCTGATGACCCTGGAAGCCCATTTTTTGATCATCACCGGCTCGGTCTTCGGAGTCGACTCGATCGGTCCCGAGGGAGACAACCTCGAGCTGCCAGAGTTCCTCCATGCCTCCCTGGGCGCCCAGCGTTTGCCCTCCCTCTTGGGTGGCGATTTGAACCTGGAGCCAGAGGAGATTATGGATCTCTGCTGGCTGGATTTGGCGACGGCGACAGTATCTTCACTCCTGGTTTGCCCGCCTGCAATGGGAAAGAGTACGACTACGTCGTTGGCCCCCAGACCCTGGGCGCGTTCCCTATGAAGGTAGAAGCGAGAGTGGATGCGCCTATTTCTCCGCGCTGCTACGTGGAGATCACGCTTGACGGCCTGAGGGACGAGCCCTCAGCTTGGGCGGAGGCTCCGCCGAGAGCCCCCCCGCTGGCGGAGCACGGGGCGAAGCGGACAGCTTGGGAGAAGGCTAAGACCGCCAGGGTCGTCGACCTCACCACTGCGGCTGCGCCCCCTTCGGCGGAGGTGATGGCAGAGTGGCAGCGGGGCCCCCCTTCGACCCCGCGGGAGATGCAGCGTCGCTGCGGTTCACGGCTGTCAAGAAGCACCCGGCGCAGGTGTTCGAGACCCCTCTCTCAGACAGGCGACTGTGCGTCGGCCGAGCGAAGGGGGCGGTGCTGAAGCAGAAGAGCATGGTAGACTGCTCTAAGTCCATCCTTGAGCGCCGCGGTGAGACGGACGCCAGGCTGTGGTTGAGTGCGCGCAGGCTATGGGTTCGAAAGCAGGCAGACCTGAGCACGCTGAGAGATGCGAGAAAAAGCTGCTGGCCCATGAGCTCCCTGAGGCAATTTCGGAGACCCCCTCCCCGATGGCGAAGGACGCCCAGAAGTGGTTGATTTGGCCAAGAGAGGAGGTCAGCTGCCAGCCTGGCCTCGACTTGCGTCAGCGGAGGAGTTGGGGGAACGCGGGCGCCAGGACTCCACGGCCAAGAGTAAAGCTTGGCGTGGGTTTGGAGCATCTGCAGCTGAAGGCCCCGGGAAGCTGGCCCATGCGATTGCCCGACCCTAACAACTGGATGAGGCGCCCACTCTGGCCAAGGGTCAGCCACGCGGGCTGGTTGGAGCGGCTGCTATCACTGCAGTTCTTGAAGAATGGGAAGAGCAGTGGATCTCCGACGGCAGGGTTCAGGAGGCTGCGCCGACTGACTGGAGTTATCCGTGGAAGCTCGCCCCGATTTCTGAGGACCAGATCGTGCAGGCGCGTCGCTCTTTCAGTCCGTCTACAGGCTTGGGCTGGGACAACTTTCTTTATACGGGGTGGCTCGATCCTTGGATGGTGCGTTCGTTCAGAGGTTGCAAGAGATTCTCACGAGCTGGGGGCGCAATCCCCGTTGCGAGCGGGCGCGGGTAACGATCGATGTATTTCTTCCAAGGCCAGGTGGTGGAGCCAGGCCCATTGGCCTTCTGCGTTTTTGGGCGCGTGTATGGAGCCGTTGCAGGAGGCGATGCGTCAAGAGTTCGGGGGCCCCTGTTGATGCGCAATTCTTCTGGGGAAAGGATGCGGCGACCAGTTGCGACAAAGCAGCATGCCTGCATACTGCGTTGGCGGGCCACGCTAGACGGGAAGGTTTGTCGGAGATAACTGTTTGTTACGACGCCCGCAAGTTCCACGATAATGTCAGTCGTCAACAGTTGCGAGAAGCAGCGGAGCACTACGGCTTCGACGGTGCCTTACTAAAGGCGCTTTGTTGTCTCTACCGCGCGCCTCGCAGAGCACGGTGGACGGGCGGCGCCAGCAGCAGCTGGAGCAGCACGGTGGCAGGATGTAGCGCAGCAGCTGGGGCATCGACGTCGATGGCTTCACG